GAGTGAAGCCACCACCGCAGGGAGGCCCTCGCCTCCCGAGAGATCCGAATCTCCCTGTCCAAGGACAGGGGGGACTTGTCCCACTGTACCAGGATGTTCCTCTGCAGGGTCCTGGTATTGTGTTGCGCAAAGGGCACCGCCTCGAAGGAGGCCACCATGAGACCCAGGGCCTGCATGCAACCCCGAATGGCCGACCACTGGAGAGCCCTCAGTAGCCTGACCCTGGAACGGAGCTTTAGGAGCTTGTCCCGGGGAAGAAAGACCCGGGCCGCGACCGTGTCCAGAACCAAACCCAGATACTCCAGGCGTGGCGAAGGCACCAGACAAGATTTTCGCAGGTTCAGAAGCCACCCGAACTCCTCCAAGGACCGCACCGTGACCCCCAGGGCCGTCACCATGGAAGAATGCGACTCTGCCCGTAGGAGCAGATCATCCAGGTACCCCACAATCGAAACACCCCGACAACGCAACAGCGCCAGAATCGGGGCCAGCACCTTGGTGAACACACGTGGAGCCGACGCCAGCCCGAAGGGCAGCGCCACAAACTGAAAGTGGTCCTCCCCCACCGCGAAACGAAGATATCGCTGATGAGACTCGCAAATGGGTACATGAAGGTATGCATCCCGAATATCGATGGAGGCCAGCAGATCCCCTTGACGGAGCCATGCCACCACGGACCGGATGGACTCCATCCGGAACCGACGGACCCGCACGAAGGCGTTCAAGCGTTTGAGGTCCAGGATGGGCCGCACCCCCTCTTTCTTGGGCACAGTAAACAGGTTGGAATAAAACACCCGGAAACTTTCCGCGGAGGGAACAGGCACAGTCACCCCCTGGGACCAAAAGGTCCGCCACCGCGCGATGAAGATCCGCCAACCGCGAAGGGGATAGTCGCGTGTTGGACGGGAAGAACCGGTTGCCCGGACGGGATAGAAACTCGATCTTGTAGCCTGAAGAGACCAGCTCCCGGACCCAAGAGTCGGAGACGTGGGTCAGCCAAAAATCCACAAAGAGCCGAAGGCGGCCCCCCACCCTGGGACCCGGAGTCGGGGCCCGACCATCATGCGGACTGGGGCTTGCCGGCGGGCTTGGCAGACTTGGGCTGCCACGGCCGCTTGGAAGATTGGGAAGCGGAGGGTTTGTGAAACTTACCGCCCTTCTCAGAGGGCGGAGGGGGCCGAAAAAGCCGCTTGTGAGCGGAGAAAGTAGGGCCAGGCTTCCGGCGCTGTTCCTTCTTGCGCGCCTGGGGAAGGAAGGTACTCTTACCCCCCGTCAGATCCTTAATGATCTCATCTAAGGTGGAACCAAACAGACGGTCCCCCGTAAAGGGCAACTCCTGAAGAGCCTTCTTGGAAGCCTGGTCCGCCGACCAGCACTTAAGCCAGAGCAAACGGCGAAGCGTCACCGC